ACGTGCCCAAAGTATGTGAGACAAAGCTTCAAAATCCTAGCCTCCAAGGAGAAACTTGGTTTCACCCTCTTCAAGACAGATCTCTATAAATGTTAAGGAGAAAAAACAGGAAGGAGGTGACAGGTAGATGGTTGAAGTTTATATAATGTGGCACAGAAGACCATCCAGAGGTGGCGGCATTTAACTAGATAACCTGAAAACATTGGGAAGAATAACATTCCAGGTGGAAGGAATAGCAAGTGCAAAGACGTGACCATGCTATTGGGTTTACAGGGAGCCACATCACCCAGGACTTTTGAGGCCATAGACAGAGATCTGGAATTCAGATTTTGAAAAGTTTTTGGACCTTTCCCCATTTTCTAGAAATAAAAAAGAATCTGCTGGATGTTGTTTTTAAGAGTGACACACAAGGAGCGCTGGGGCAGATCTGGGCTCACAGGTGATGGTGTGCCTTTCTGCGGCACTGAGAGGGAACGCTGATGAGTGCTGGGAGGAGAGGTCTGCTCTGGCCCAGCAGCTGGGCAAGGCAGGGTGGACAGTGGCAACTTCCTCCCTCTTGACTCCTGAGAATTTGGATAAGGCACCCTGTGTGTGTCCAAGCTGGCTGCCCAGCGTGGGAGCATGTAGTTTCGGCACCCATCCCAGCCGCTGGGCCTTGCAAACACATGACAGCTCGCTATTTTAGTACTCTTCTGCAGGACTTTATTATGTGCTTCCATTTCTCTGCTGTCCTGATTCACAGATTGTGCCAGCACCAACCACAAGAGTTGCAAATGTCCTGCGGTGCCTCAGGATTCACATCCGAGCAGTCAGAAAAGGCAGCTCCTCAGTGAGCGTGGAGGAGTTCCGGGTGAATGTTCCCAGCTGGGCTCAGCATCACACCCCTTTTCCAAGCAAATAAGGATTCTCATTTTCCATTGTTTTAAACCTCCACAAATCATCAGACCGCCAATTAGGATATGTTTTTGTGTTCTAAGATCAGTGAGTGCTTGGCTCAGGGAAGTAGTGCTGCTGGTAAAAACCACTTGTCTTCCTTCTATCCCGAGTGAATTTATATACACTCATTACTAACTGGGATTGTTTTAAGCCACTTAATACAAAGTGTGCAAGTCTTATCTGAATTATGGCTCCAGTTAAATGTGAAGACTTTGGCCTTACCTAGGTGTGGCTGGTGCAAGATGCTTCAGAGCAGAGGCTGCACACAACAACCCGAGCCAGGAGTCCTGAGCAAGTAGTAGTATTTTAAGTACCCCAAGTTGAGTCCTTGAGGAAACATTCACATTGGCTGGTCCTTACCCAAGGATAGGAGAGGCTTCGTAGGAAATAAGGGAGAGTTGCAGTCAGAACTAAAGTTTATCCTAGACCATAGAAATGCTAAAAAGAATTGGCTATCATTTTCATTCTCCCCCGCTGAATCAATCTTTACTCAGATGACAAAGCATCTTTCAAGCATCTTACAATGTAGCCTGGACTCTTCCCCTAAATTATTACATCTTTCAAAATAGACATTCAAAATTTTTAAACTCTTCATGTTTACTATGGGAGCAATATGCTAAAGGTTTAGCTGGAGTCTGTGTTCTAGTTGTTCGTTATTGTAGGGCACAGAGTACTCTACAGACTTTGAATCAACCCTGTTAGAAAGGAGTAGCCCTATTTTATAGTGTTGATCCTTTCCTAAGATCATCTAGCGCCTACATGGCAGGGTCTGGATTCACACTTTTATTCCAGAACCAGAGCTGGAAATAAGGAATTGCCTTGTACTTTAGTTTTTGCTGTGATCCAGTTTGCCGCCTTGTTTTCTAACATCAAGCTGGGCAATAGGGACATTTCTGCTGCATGATTTCTATCCTTTGAGGTGACTCCACAATGCACTGCACTGGCTGCCATTGTTCTTAAGGGAACTGGGTTCAGACCACCAGTCATTTCTAACATGACTTTCCAGGATGCCTCATTCCGCAGCTCCTGTCCAGTTTACTTACACTTCTCAACCCTGGACCACATTTCTGTAGCTGCACACCACTTCCTTGTCTGTTCCCAACTCTTAGACCTAGTGAGAACCAGGGCCGTAGGATTACAAAGGCTTTTATTGTGAATTACGCTGAGGATATGAATGAATTCCCTCTACTATATGTTGTTCACTGGTCATTTCCAATTCAATGGCACCTAACAGTAACAACAACATACCCCTGTATGAGGAAGTGAAACTTCACCTCACTTACTTTGAGCATTTTTTCAGAAGGAACCAGTCCTTGGAGAGAGACATCATCTTGGTAGAATGGTCAGAGGTAGAAAGTGGTCAGCCAAAGAGAGGAAGCCCCTCAATGAGATGGACTGACAGCAACTACCAAGCGGACTTGGGCATGGCGTGCAGACCGTGGGGATGGTGTAGGATCGAGCAACCTTCAGATCTGTTGTTCTTCGAGTTGCTATGAGTCACAGTCCCCTCAACAGCACCTCACAACCTAACATTCCTATGTTGGAGCTCTGGTGGCACAGTGGTTAAAGATTTGTGCTGCTGCCCAAGAGGCACGTGGTTCAAATCCACCAGCTGCTCTGAAGGAAGATGCTCTGTTTACATTCTCTGAAAACTCTCTGGAGAGCCAGCGATGAGTGGGTTTTATGAGTGGGATAATCCTTGTTAAAAATCCCCCTTGAGGGACGCCCGTGGATCCTGGATTTTGGAGGGCGCCGCCGCGAAGATGGGCCGCGAGTTCGGGAACCTGGTACAGATGCAGCATGTGATCACCTACAGCCTGTCGCCCTTCGAACAGCGCGCCTTCCCTCACTGTTTCAGCAAGTGGATCCCCAACATGCTGCGCCGCACCTGGGCGTCCATGATGCGGGTCTTGCCCCCATTTGTAGTGTTTTACCTTGTCTACACATGGGGCAACGAGGAGTTTAAGAAATCAAAAAGGAAGAATCCAGCTGTCTATGAAAATGACAAGTGAACAACTCACCTGGATGATGGTTTCCTGCCTTTGAAAGACTCGTTTCTGGGAGAGAGGAGTCCAAGTCTACCTGGTAGTGTCTTGAAGACAAAATAAACTTATCAGCTGCTTAGCTGTATGTTGTAAAAAAAAAAATCCCCCTTGAGACGATCCTCTGTGCAGAGCAGTGGACACTGGGAAGAAGGAACGACTAGACCCCAAAATCACTCTGGTAATGAAATGAACTGTGAAAGTGATGACCAGAAGTTATTCAGCTCTGAGGAAGCATGATGTGAAACACTTCCTAGAAACCTCATGCTCCCAGTGTTCTCTCTGAAGAAAGTGGCTGTGCTTTAAATCATGTGGTCAACCCAGAGAATCTGTTAAAGTGAAGAGAGAATTTACAGCCAAGGTTAATCCCTTGGGATAAATCCCTAGAGACTTGCTATTCTGAGGTAATTAAGAAAGGATTCTGAGTTGTCATTTAGCAATCTTGATTATATAGGTGTTTTGTGGTGGTTTTTTCCTTCTGCCATATAGAATAAAGGCATCCTCATGTAAGCCATATAAAAGTATTAAAAGAAGACTTTTGACCAAGAAAGTGTTTGTTGAGAAAGATTTTGGGACGCAGGCTGCCTTTATCAGTTCAGATTCCCAACTTCCCCCTCCCCAAGGAGCCGCTTCCAGGTGCATGGGGCCACTCTCTCAGGCTTATGCAAGTACAGCCAGGGGCTAGGTCCTCCTGACTCCCCAGGGATGGGATGAAGAATAATTCTCAACCACTGCATTCCCTATACATAGTGAACCAGGGCTGTGAGTAATGGAGAAATAGATGTTTAATAGGACAGGATAAAAGGATCAGCTAAAGAGAAACAGACTGCATGTTAAATCTACTGAAAGCTAAGCGCATTCAAAAGAATACAGACAACAAATACTTAGAGAACTTGATGCGTTGGGGGTGTTGTGTTTTTTCCTCACTGTATATGTAAATATGAACATCTCTGCCTCAGACATTCAACCAGTTGTTGGTAAATGTCATAAAACAGACTCCTCTTGAGCCTCCTTAAGGCGCTGACAGGGTTATGGTCTGGGCTCCTTCACTGCCCTGCCACTTGCATTCATCCAGCCCTTGGTGAACTTTTCGTTTTTTCCTTGCAAAAGGCCAGATGGTAAAAATTGTTATGTCTGGTACAGTGCTCAACACTGGTGTTGTAACAAAAGCAGTGATGGGAATGGTCACGTCCATTCTGGTACAGGCCTACATAACTGACTCTGCACTGGGTTTCTGAAGCTGTGAATCACATGGGAGAAGACTGCCCATCTTTTCCCTTTAGAACTTTGTGGTGGATTCAACCCACAAGAAAGCTGTGGCCTTTGGGCCAGCATCTCCCTATGGACTACCTGGGAAGATATCATTATCTGTTCCTTATTTATATTTCTGTAGACTTTCTATATATAATCAAACAACTATTTTGACTCAATGTCCTGGTTTTGATGTCTCTTCCCTTTGTCCTTGAACAAAGAATTGAACTGGGTGGGAGCTAACAGGAAGATCGTTAGTAGACAGGAAAGTGCTGGTGGCTTATGGGGCAAGGAATTGTGCTGCCACAAAGGTTCATGGTTCAAATCCACCAGCTGCTCCATCGAAGAAAGATGGGCAATCTCTTTTGAGACTGAGAGGATTAACTGGCTCTGAAAACCCACTGGAGGGTCAATTCTGACTTGACTGTACAGAGTCACCACCAAGTTGAACCAAAAGGGACTTCTCACTGCAGTGAGTCCTGCTGGAAGGCACAAAAGCAAGTAAAGTTTGCTCTCAAGGTGAGAAATTAATTATTTGTGGGTTTAGAAGCTAACAGGATCAAAAGTGGCTGAAAATGTTTCTCGTAGGTGCTATTTCTTGATCAGTTCAGCTTAGTTACTTAAAACAGTGTCTAACACTGTTTACAGAGCACCTTCTATATGCAATTCCCCAAAGTAGGAAGTGAAATAAAATGACAGCAGACCTGTCTAGATACTTTAGAGCCTCTGTAGTTCTCACCTAATGTGGTTGTTTTCTCTTCTTCCCTGCAGGTCTCTTCCTGATCCTGGGTCTGATTCTCTACCCTGCTGGTTGGGGTTGCCAGAAGGCAATAGGCTACTGTGGACATTATGCATCTGCCTACAAACCCGGAGACTGCTCCTTGGGCTGGGCCTTTTACACGGCCATTGGCGGCACGGTCTTGACCTTCATCTGTGCCGTCTTCTCCGCACAAGCAGAAATTGCAACCTCCAGTGACAAAGTACAGGAAGAAATTGAAGAGGGGAAAAACCTTATCTGCCTCCTTTAGTTCGGAAGAGACACAGCCGTGCCATTTTCTTCTTTGTAACCTTATGAAGCAATCCACCTCCGGTTTCATCTTTTGAATCAAGTGGAGAACTAGCCTCTGACTACCAAAACCACATTCCACAGCCCCAGGCCTTAACGGGACCCATGAGAGGCAATATCCAACTAAGTTTCTGGGCCTGTAGGCCACACAGCAAATTCTAAGGGACAGAACCTGAAAGTGGTCGACCTTCCCCAGGGCTCACTGAAGGATAATGAGCCTAATCATTGTTTCTCTGGAAATGGAAGACTGTTAGCTAGATATGTAGCCTGTTTGGGGACACTGTCGTGTGTCTGCAGGCATCTCTGCCTCAGGAGCAGGTTCTGGATTGGTGTTTTTATTTTGCCTTCTAGTACTTAGGACTATAAACTCCTGAAGGCAGGATATGTACTAAAGGGTATAGCAACACACTCTTTCTTGTGTAGATGACCAAAGTGTCAGCAAGGACGGCATGGGATCCTATTGTTAAAGGATTCCCAGGCCGAATTCCAGGGTGGATGAAGGAAGTGTCACTCCTGTATTTTAGAAAGCTGAGTTAAAGAGACATAATCCCCTGACCAATCATGAGGATAAAAGTAAAATAAGCTTTCTAGTGAAGACAAACCCTCTCTCTTCCACTGTAAATCACATGCTTTCCTCCCATGGTTAGGACTGTGCTTTGACTGCCAGAGGCAACCTCACATTGATCCTCATTCCAAGGACCGCAGTCTCCACGCCAGCTGTGGCTCATTCAGATGCTGGCTGGGAGGACTTGCCAGGATCTCAGCACTTGGGGGATCCCATTCCCACTGTTTGGTAACTAGGCTGTAGCTGGCTGTATTTACAGCCCCTTAGCAGCACAATGGCTTTCTTTAGAGAACAAAAAGACTTATTCATGGGAGTTAAGTTTTTCTAGTTACTAGTGTGGATCCTGAAAATCAACTGAAGTAACGTTAAACTGATGTAACTGAAGTTGCATTAGAGGTTTCATTCCCAAGAAAGCACAGAATAGGAAGTTAATGGGAAACCAGGAGCTAGACCACGCTCATAGGACCTGCCTACACCTGTTTACAAAAAAGAACACCACTATTTAAAAGCCAGCAGCTTTTAATATAGTTCCCATGAATTCAGGGAAGATGATCATTTTAACCATCATCTTAAAAAGTTACTTCAGAATGAACAAAGTGTCCAGAAAGTCCCGTCTGGAATGACCTTATGCTTTGTAATTGTAAAAATACTGTATCAAGCAGGTGGGGTGGACCAGCCAGATTTCTGGAAGAATATAAGGATTTTAAAAATCCCTTTGGGATTCTTCATCTGTTCATATGAAGGCTTTATTTTGAAAATGTAACAGTAATTACTAAGCACATGGAGGCTGTACCTTCTGTGTCCAAGGTTATCAGGTGGTAAGTGGCATCAGGTATTAAATCAGATTTTATAACTGCCCAGAGTAAATCCATCATAAAGCTGTGTGAGTCTAAAGTCATACTGTGGTGCAGAAAAAAACTGTTATATATAAATAGGTGGAAGGAGGAAACTAATGTTTTATTCCATTCAGGCCTTTAGCATATTCCACACGCCATCTTACCAAACAGATTAAGAACTAAAAGCAAGGCGGGGGGGCAGATCATAAAGAGTTTGTCATTCCTGGACCAAAGTTCAAAGTAAGCAAACCATACATCCTATGACTTTATTTTAAAAAAAAAGGAAGAGGTAAATGAGTATCCTCATAGAAACCCACGTTAACAAGAACTCAGGAAATATTAATCACATCACTCACAGCACACAGAAGTAGACTATGGAACTAACTGGACAAGACTCCTGTCTCTGTGCATTTATAATCATCTAACCAAGTCCCAGGTGGCACTCCACTGTTATCAGAAAGACTAGCAGTTGGAGCCCACCCCGGGTGCCTTGGAAGAATGTCCTGGTGATATGCCTCGAAAAGGCGTCAGCCTTCAAGTCTCTGGAAAAGTTCTCTGCACACACAGGACAATAACAAATTAGAATTCAACTTGCCAGCATCTAGTAACAACCTACTCCAGGTGCCACCACAATAACTTACCAAATCCTTTCTCATTTAAATAATTTTCCTTTTTCAAGCAAAACTTTTTTTTTTCTATATGAGACAAAGAATCGATTTTTCTAACATTACTCTTCCAGTCACTCTCCTAACACACAAATCATAATCCTGGAGATTCTTCTAAGGATGTTCATCATCCTCTTTACTGCCTGACTGCTCTTTGGCCACAGAGAAATCAAGTAACTGTCCCAAGTGGAAATGTGACACTCTTCGCCTACAGGGCACACACACACCCCAATCACACACACAAATATAACGCCCCAACAAACTAAAACATTGAGTAAGCTGAGCAGAGAGGGTAAAACAATAATATTGTGAAATCTCTTTCTAGCCATTAGCCATGCTTTGGTTGGGACAAATGGAACCTCTAAAATCTTGCTAGCTTAGACAGACACACTGCTGCACAGCTGATTGAACAACCACTGAATAAAGAATGAGCTAGGGGAAAAAATATTAAAAGCAATTGTTCTCTGTTAACCCTCATTTCCTAATAAATTTCTATCAACCACCTCATTCTGAAAATCCAACATAGCTGGACCACTACTCCTCCACCACCTTCTTCTCCTCCTAATAAATAAATGTCTTATTTATTTTTGCCTACATTTGTGCTTAAAAGAAAGTTTCCTGATGGGCTTGCCTTCTCAATGAATTCCAAGGAAGCAGAAATATTTGACTTAGATTCTGTGGATTCTTTAAACCTGTGTGCTAATACAACCATGTTACATTGTTGTAAGAGTTTTTGTAGTTTTTAAACACCTGTGGTGTGATTTTTGTTACACATGTATTCTGTCAAGTGCCACAGTCATTTTTTAGTAGCATATTTAAGAATATATATAGATGTATATTATACATACAGAAGTCTGTGTGAAAGATGTGCAATAACAAAGGTGTATGTTTGGGGTGGTTTGTTTTTGTTTTTAAACTGGACAGGAGTCAAAACAAGACTGTTATTACTGTTTTGACAAAGGAGAGTTACACAGGTGTTTTGTTTTGTTTTGCTTTGTTTTGCCTTCATGGCCTAAACAAATCCATAACAATATTAATGCTACACAAGTCTTATGTGAAGAAAAGACTAGTATTAATAATTTTTCCTGGGTCTAACTGAAAATAATCACTAGATTGATGTGAAAGCCAAACCAGCCAGCCAGACCCTGCTAATGCTAGTCTTTCATGTGAAATGTGAAGCTGCCACATTGCCTTTTCTGTCAGTGTGATAACTAGTAGCTGGTACATAATCACTAAGGAGCTGTATTTCTTAACGTGCTTTTATAGAACATGTTAATGCTAGACCACTATTTAAGGGCTAATCTCACATTCTTAGCCATAACAGTCTGGCTTAGAACAGACCTCTCTGTGCAATAACTTGTGGCCACTGGTAACTCTGGCCTACATTTGTATTTGGGTAGCAATGACTCCCAAGGGCCAAAAGGATTAAAGGCACAATTGGGATTTCTCCTGAGACTGTGGTGAGACTCCTTTTCAAGGTTGGGGGAGGGGTCATTAGGTGCTCTGGAGGAACGCAGCACCACTTGATATTCAACAGCCACTTGAGCCAAATACAAAACTCTATTTACAACTGATGGACTCAGTTTGAGCCTTCAAATTTGTGGTTATCCTATTATATTGTAAACTAATACATTGTTTGTCTAGCATTGATTTAGGTTCCTGTGCATATGTTATTTTCACAGCTTGCTAACTTCCCCTTCCCAGATCTGAATTAAACCAGATTTTGCAAACTTATCCTGACTTATATCTGAGTATGTCCACGTCAATGTTTATAATTTGATCAAGAAAATACTTATTGGTCAAAAGTTATTTTAAACACTAACTTGTGTATCTTTGATGACAGTATAAAAGATAATTCAAGTATTTCCAGCCATTTCCTTCTTAATCATTTCTAGCTAGCTCTATACCTACCCTATGTTAGGGAGCCCTGATGGGCTTATGGGTAAGGAGTTGGGCCGCTAATGCAACGGCAGTTGTGCACATCAACCAACTGCTCTGAGAGTGAAACCTAGGGGGTGTCATCCGGTGTGATTTACAGCCTTTGAAAATCTGCTGGAATGTCAGCTATGATTTGGTTTTGACTCAATGGCAATGAGCTTTAATGTCAAACTAAGTACTTTACAGAATACCTCCTTGGAGAAGTCATCCCAATTATAAGAATGAGATGAGGGGAAGCTGTTAGATACAAACCAATTATCGTAATTCTGAATGCTAAGAAACATGAAAATGCTTCAAAGTCCTAACAAGGCTTTATAAACAAAGCAGCACATATAACAATGACAAAGGGGGAGGAAAACCTGAAGAAACATTCCTCCAACAAAAATACTAAAACAAAAAGCCAGTCTTACAAAGCAGTTCCAGGTGTGTGTTTCCTGAGATCACAAAAAAGTAATTTTAAAATTTTTTTTTTAAAAGTTTCCTTTTAAAATGACAGCTTTGTTGCTATTGTTGTCAGGTGCTATTGAATCAGAAGTGACTCTCCAAGTGGGTTTTCAAAGGCTGTTAAGTGCACAGGAGACTGCCTATCTTTCTCCCACACAGCAGCTGGTGGATTCAAACCCCATGCCTTTGGGCTGGCAGTACAACTCCTTACCACTGGGCTATCAGTGCTGCCCAAAAAGGACACTAACCACCGTCTTAAAACTTGTTCTCTTATTAACCCATGAATCACATGTGTAACAGAATGAACAAAAATGACTACTCCCTTCTAACAGACAAAGCTACATTGATGGCTTCTAAACACAGATGACATCTACCCAGTTTCTAACAGAAATCAAAAGCTGACAAGCACATTCACATCACATTAATCAAGAAAGTATTCCATTGCATGCAAACAAATTTTTTTTTAAAAGACAGTTTTCCAAACAAATGATGACTAGAATAAATACAAGCACAA